GCAATCAAATGGGGAACAACACACTGGAGACTCTCTTCAAAAATTTCAAAATTTTGCTGCCCTAATTATTTTCTACACGTGAGGCCTCCAAGGAACGATATAATTGATAAATTATACGATGGTTTTAGTTGAAACTTTCATGTCAAAAAATGGTATACGATGGTTTTAGTTGAAACTTTCATGTCAAAAAATGGTAAGTTATCCCTAATTTTCATCTTCTTGTTGACGTAAAAAATTGTTAAACTTTCGTATCGACTATTGAGCGTAAATTAAGCCCTAAGTCAACAAGAAAGAACACGTGGGATCGATCTTTCTCCTAAAGGAAGAAGAAAATCGAGCACATATTGAGCCTCTGTTCGAGGTGCAAGAAATCCAACCTTTTGAGCCGCAATGTTTGACTTTTTATTCCACACCAATTCAAATTTTTTGAAACTAACGGTCGTCTACTTTATTTTTATTTGCTATTAATGCGCATCAGACAGGCGCTGAATAAATTTTATCGTATGTGCCTCTCTTTGATCGAGTTCAAGTTTAATATAAAACATCGAACATCTCTAAAAGTTCATGATCAAATTAATTGTCAAAAGTTTGTTTGAGAATCGTTTTCTAGAAAAAAAAAAATTATTGAATTCGAACCCAACGTATTTAGGTTTTAATTTTGTTAATTAAACTTATAAAATTTAATTTTTTAGAATTCTCTAAAGAAGTCAAATAAACATCGCTTTGATACCATACTTCAACTCTAAGCAAAGCAAATGAAAGAAGAAGAAAAAAATTAAATTTATTTAAGCCGCCAACTGATTTATAGCCATGGGTGTTACGTACGATATATTTCATATTCCATGGTCGGTTGATGTTACACACTAAACAAACTACGAAGATAACTAACTAGTGAAAATTCAATTTTATTATTTTAAATACTCATAAATAATATTTAAAAAATTAAAAACAATTCTGGTGGGATCAATTCTGTTGGTAATTGGTAGCAATATCTGCGTTGATTATCGTTGTATCTGATTAAAATATTATACGTGATGTCGTCGACAATTAACGATAGTGATTTATTCATTGATTATGTGAGTAACTTAGGACATTTTTTTTATATTTTTAAATATTTTATTTGTAATATTACTAACATATAAGCTTTAGTAATGAAATTTTCGTACTACGTAAAGTAAATTTATCACAATATTCATATTTCGCCGATATTAGATTCCTAATCTGACTTTTTTTAATTGACATTTCGAATGTTATTGTTGTTGTTGTTGTTGTTATTATATTTTAGAGATGAAAATTTTTTGTCGTTAATTACCAATGTAGAACACCATTATTAAATCTTAAATTAGTATTTTCATTGTTGTTTTGATAGATATAGGTCCTTGCACAACAATTATTTAGCTAAAGGTTGAGTCGACTCTAATTTTATAGTTCTTTTTTTAATATATATATATAACAGTGGATGTCTGGCCCAACTTGCGGGCACTTCGACTAATTCCACGGAATCCTAAGGTTTACAGTCAAGTACTCATCTCAATGACCCTGAGGGGACTCGAACTAGTGATCATTGGGGAGCAAACTCAATGTCTGACCAATTTGAGTCCACTCTAATTTTATAGTTCTAAGAAATATGTCTGTTTTAGGACAAATATCTTATGCGCGAGGTCTTTATTTAATATAATAATATAAAATTGTATTTGATCGAATGACATATATTATAATGGTTAATAATTTAATTATTTTGAATAATATATAATTTATTTTTTCTTCATATTTTTGTTCGTAAAAGAAAATAATAATTTTGAATTTAGTACAATTCGCAAGACCATAGGTAGCTGATTTTAATGAAATGTTGTTCCATGCTATTGCTTGCACTTTATTATTAGGGAAAGATCAAAGCAAAAGGAGCGTCAATAGATTACTGCATCATACGCTCCCGTGGGCCCTACAAACGGGCCCTTTCCGGCCGACCACTGTCCCAATATTTTACAAAGTACGACCGGCCCACTTTCTCCACTGGGCCATTGGTCAAAAATATAATATTCTAATTTTTATTCAATAAATAATACCCCATTAATCTCTTAATCTATTTAATTAATATGAACCATTGTTTTGAAAAACTTAGAAATAATGTGTGAATAAATTTATTTATTTTTATTTTATCTTTTTTCGAGTTATATTTGTGATGGGATCACAGTCTAACTTAAATGGTAAAAGTAAAGTATTAGCAGGTCAGACTGTCAGTAATCTGATGTTATTCGATTTCAAGGTGAAATAAAAAAATAAAAAATTATTGTACCTATGATATAGATTTTAAGTTCACACGGGTGTAGGGTAACGACTCACGTGAACACGTGACTCCTTACCTAATCCTTATTAATAGTTTAAACTTCAATTATCAATGTCATTTCCTAAACATTTTTTTAAACTTACAGCCATTCCTTACAAGCATGAAAAAGCAAAGCAATTAAAATATTGTCAACTTACTAATACCTTATTTGATGGGGACTAAAATCAGATTTTTAGCAGATTTTGATTGAAATTGATGAAATGTATGGTTGAAAAATTATGGGATCCATAAAATATGTGGTTAAAACTGATTGTTGACTTTAATTTAGATTAAAATCTAGTTTTTAAGTTGTACCGAACAAGGGATAAATTAAACAAATTGTAAATATTATTTTTAAAAAAATACGTAATTTAAAACCATATTAAAAACAAAACAATTTAATCCTCAAAATTATGAATCATTTTTTTTACGCGGTTACTAAAAATGTAAATGTATCGAGTTATATTGTGTTAGGCATGAACATCCTTACGAATGGATTCTTGTGAATTTCTATTTACTAAAACGACAAAACAAGACATAGAGTCGAGCCGAATAGCTCTGTCATTTTTTTTTCCTTTTTGTATTTTTCTTATATCAACTCCATTACTTATCCACAGCGTGATGGTTCCTCCATTGACTTGCGATCCCATAACCATCAGCCAAAACGAGAAATCCAAATAACTAATTATTCAATGCCTTAATCAATGAAAAATAAGATGATATATACAAATTTCCTTAATAATTCAATTGATAGGATTTTTAAAAGGGCCCGGATTTCTTATCAATACAGAGTCGCCATCAAACACACCCTTGTTCAAATTATCGTCAGAAAGTCACACACTTCGTCCAAAAGTAACATCAAAACTTGGAATCTCCATTTTTTTTTTCAAAAAAATTATGAATTTTTCCTCTGATGAGACAAAAACTGAAAGGAACCCACTTCTCTTTTAGTGCTGGAAGTCTCCATCATTAAGCCAAGAAATCTTCTGAAAACTTCGAGTTCCAGGTTCTTCCTTTGAAGATGGTGCAAAGAAAGGTGATCAACAAGCTTGGAATCCAATTCCAAGCTGATGGTGATCAATTGCAGCAACAGGATGGGAAGAATCGAGGAAAAGATTTGAAGAAGAAAATGAAAAAGTCAGGATCAATGAAGCGTCAAGATTTTGAAAAAATTCGTTTGCCCAATATGGGAAGGCAAGAGCGGCAGCCCGGAAAACCTCCGCCGCCTGTTGCAACGCCGCAGAAGCAGCCAAGCGGCGCCGCAGTGGAGATGTCGACGCCGAATTACATGAAGTCCACCAGCAGTTCTGAGGCTAGGAAGGAGAGATCCCAGGTGAGTTCTTCCAGAAGTTCTAAAACTAGCCCTGAGAGTATATATTCACGAAGAAAAAGTTCAGGTTCATCAAGAATGCTATCTAAGATTTTGACAAAAACTCCTAGCTTTAAACCCTCAAGATCATCTGCAAATAAATGTTCCCCGGTTGTGTTGTGTGAAAATTTAGATGTTAAAAGATCAACATGTTCATCAACTTTGAAAGATTACAAGTTTCCCAGTTACCTCGGTCTTAATCCTGGAGGAACAGAATCAGAGGGGACCTCTGTAATGAAGGTCTGTCCGTATAATTATTGCTCTTTAAATGGTCATAAGCATGCTCCTGTGCCTCCTTTGAAAAAGTTCTTGTCTGCGAGAAGGCTTATGATAAAGACTCAACGGGGCTTAAAGCTGGGGTGTCTATCCCCAAGGCGATCAAGGCCTGCTGGAGATGGTGTGAATATCGATAGGAAATTTCCGAGTCGAGATGGATTGGATAGCTCAACAATTAGCCCTCTGATTCAAGAAGAGGATGGGGATTTCTATGTTGAAATCTATGGTGTAAAGAAGGAAGATGGTGGTGAGCAAACCGAAAATGATCAGGGTGCAAGTGATGAAAAGGAAGAAGAATCTAATACTGACAGCGATTCTGGTGAAAATTTTGGTCAAAATGGAGATGATGCTGCCGTCTTTCCTGAAGAAATTGGAGCGGTGGAGGAAATCAACGTACCTTCTGTGGCTGAAGAGGATGCAAAATTTGGATGCTTGAGGGTCCAGACTGAGATCACGAGAGACGACATACAAAGTATTCAATCAGATGGACTTGGTTCGGATGCTTCGGATATGGATTGGGAGGCAGGGGAATACTCTGCTTTCTATCTTGATGGTGATGGTCGTGATTATTCACTAAAAGGCAGAAAAGAACGTGACTGGAAAGGAGTTGATTCATCTGAAGTTGATAGCTGCATCATTCGTGAAGAAGCTATTTTCAATCTAGATGAAAATGTTAGCAGCAACTTTGATGAAATTCCAGTAGATGAAGAAAGCTGTAGCTCTGAATCGACAGGTTCATATGAATACCTGGATAACTTCAACGTTGAGACTACTTCTTTTCTTTTTGAGGATCAAATGGGAAATCTGGAGGCAGCAAAAGAAGATAAGAATGATATCGTGTTTTCGGACCAGGATAGTGATGAAGAGAAACAGAACATCATGATGTTAGAAGATGGAACTTCAATTCATGAAGATGAGGAGGGTTCTGATGTCCCTGATAGTGTCAGCACAGGAAATCTGAATGAGAAGTACGAGCACGATGTTGGCAGCCTTGGTATTATAGAAGAGTACCAATCTGATACTGCTAACATATATCCACTCGACGGGGAGGCATTCGATGGAGGCGTTCTTCCTATTTGTGAAGATCCAGAAACAGATCAATACTGTAATATTCAGGCAGAAATTTCATGCTCTGATAACGGCGAAGGAGGAGATGTGACAGACCAATCTGATGCTGCAAAGATGACTGGGATAAAAGCATCTGATGAGGAATCTCAGACGATAAATGTGGAATATCAGGGCCACTTGGTGAATCATTGTAATGAAGCTGATAATCTCGGGGAATTGATTCCCACAGATCCCAAAGAAGGGTCTTGTTTAGGCATGCCTGAGCTCAATATGGTTGAAAATGGAGATCACATAGTTCAAACAAATTCAACCAATGCAGAAACAAAAGACACCTGTTTGACAAGGGCTACATTAACGGAATCAGATAACTCATTTGACACCTGCAAAAACCTAAAAGCAACAACCAGATGCAAGAGACGCGTCGATGATTATGACGAATCAAGACAATTCAATCCACGAGAACCAAATTTTCTACCAGTTGAACCTGATCCAGAGGCCGAAAAGGTTGATCTTAAGCATCAGATGATGGACGAAAGGAAAAACTCAGAAGAATGGATGCTTGACTATGCACTCAGACAAGCAGTCACAACACTCGCTCCGGCTCGCAAGAGAAAAGTTGCATTGCTGGTTGAAGCTTTTGAAAAAGTCTTGCCATGTGAACCTCACCGGGCACAGAGTTCAGCAGCATTAGGCCATGCTAGACCAATCCAAGCATGCAGATGAACCAGTTACAGGTGAAATTGTGAACTATCATTTCATATTCATCTTTAAGAGAAAAAACAAGTTAAACAAAACTAGTTCATTGATATCAACTGATATCACATATAACATTCTTTTATCATTTGCAATGCAGGTGATATGAAGAAGCAGCTCAGTTGAACTATAGATATCTGCCGGCATAGAAGTATTCATCTGACATAGTTAAGTTCAATCTTCCAAGAGAACCTGGAAACTAAAGTGATTTACCTTGAGCAAGTTCAATTACAATAGATTGTGTGGTGTTTTTAGTTTCTTAAACATCAATATAACTATATGTGCTTTGCTTTATTGTAGTGTGTTTTATCTCTCAAGTATTTATGTTATTTGAGTTAATGTTTGTTGGTGTTAGTTTTCGGCAACTTTAAGTAACTCGTCTGTTCTTATCTCAAGGATCCCAAAACACTATGCTGTGTTCACGAGAGTGATATGATCTTAGTAAAACACGTCGAAACTAATATGGTACGTCCTTATTGTTTAGGAATATAGTTGTTTTGGATCTTTCAATGATGTTGCAATGAACTGAATGTTGTGGCAAAAGAAGATACTGAGACTACAGCTTAAACTTGTAACTAAAGAATCAATTGTCATTACATTTTGGATGAAAAAGAAGAAAAGTCTATATTTCTGAAAAAAAATACAATACTCAAGTATTTAAGAGGAAATGAAAGTACGTTGATAATGACTATATATCAGCAAAACGAAATCTGTCTAGGCTTCATGTTAGTACATAAAGTTGTATTAAGTCTCGTGTTTCTTATGTGTTATAACTGTAGTCATGAAGACACCTTCGATGACGCTCGTTTCCATGATGACTACTAACAATCAGGAAATTCATCCGTGATAATAATTGAAAAATTTATTTTCGCATTGTGTTTTAAGAATTAGAAGAATGAGGAAAAAAATATTTGCAATTTAGGTCATGTTTGTTTCAGATTAAAATCAGATTTTAATTTAAGTCAAAGTCAAATAATCAATATTAACTATATCTTTCATGGGTCCCACATCTTTTCAATCACAATTTCAAAAACTTTTATTACAATCTACGAAAAATCTAATTTTAATAATCACCAAACAGCCACTTTTTTTGAAAGATCATTATGTGCCAAGATTTAAACTTATTTTTTCGATTTGTAGTCCTATCTAATTTATTCTTTGCAATATATCGAACATATTGTTTAAGCACTTTTAGATTTGAATTTCATAAGCTAACTCCTGAAAGAGATGTTAGATGGTATGCCAGAATGTGCTTTCCTTTAATCCCTCTTTTAATTCAAGAGACTCTTTATTCATAAATAGCATTCATTATGATTATAGAAGGATCAAAATTTTATTTGAAATAGAGGCACAAAACGCTCCTATGCTGACCTTATATTTTTTGGATTTTCACCCATATTTACACTATTCATTGCCGAAATCATCCTTTTCACCATTCCCATCAATTTTCTTAATAAATATTGTAAAATAACGAATATATCCTTCTATTTAAATATATATATATATAAAAAGAAGTGCGAACAAGTCCTAAATAAATAATTGAAAAATTAGAAATATAGATAAAAGGAATCCTTTCTTTTCCCTTCTGCGGTCAGCCACCACCGCCGCCACCATTATCACCTCCGCCGTATCCTCTTCCTGCCAAAACCCCTAAATGTGAAATCTCCTCACTAAACCATCTGGGGTGAAATTTCCTGAATTATTGGGTTTTTGTTTAAATCTGGGGTTTTTCGTGTGGGTTTAATTTGTTCTCAATGGCGACTGCTTTTCTTTTGCATGTTGCTGTTGACCAGGTGGGAACATACTTTATAGGGCAGTATTACCCGATGCTATAGAACCAACTTGATTTTGTGCACCAGTTCTACAGTGAGGCCAGCACCATGCTTGGTCTTGATGGCAACACCAGAGAGACAGCCCGTGCTATTCTGCAAATCCACCAACTTCTCACATCAATCAATTATAGGGGCATACATATTAACAGTGCGCATTCTTTAGAATCTTGGAATGGAGGAGTTTTAGTGATGGTTTCGGGTTCTGTGCATGTAAAAACTTTCAATTTGAAGCGGAGTGTTTTTGCAAACTTTTTTTTTCTTGCACCTCGGGAGAAAGGCTACTTTGTTCTCAAAGATATATTCCGTCATTTCATAGCTTTTTTATTGAGAAAATGGATATGAAAATTGTGAGTATTGGTCCTCCTAACACTAATTTGTTTTTCATTAAATCAATATAGACTATTACAATTGTAATCAAATTGTTTTACCTTATCTTTCTTATAAGGCAAAAGACAGACACGATCAATATAGACAATTACAATTGCACTTAAAACGTTTGACCTCATCTTTCTTATAAGGAAAAAAAGACAAGCACGATAAGGTTGAGCATTCGGTTGAAAATCTTTTTGACTTTATTAGAAGTCTTTTTGTGAGTATTGGTCCTCCTAACACTATTGGGTTGGTGCTATTTATGTCATTTGTCTTATGACTTATATTTTGGACCATTAGTTGCCTAGGTGTCACTTACCTATTGATGGCTTTGGTTTCACCCGGATTGTGTTAGTTTAGGCCGTTGGATTGAGATCAATGGATGGGATTAAATCTTGTGTTAGATATTTTTTCCTTGGTTGACTT